GGCTGGTTCTGTTGATATTATGCCCAATGGGCGGTTTATGATACATATTTTGCCCAAGGGGCTGATTATGACAATTTTTACTCTAAACTTCTTTAATTCTCTGTTGAAACTGTAGAAAGATATTTTTAAAAAGTATTTTTACTGAAACTGAGTTTTTATGTGATTTTTGATTTCTACATTGTTTTGGAGCCATACCGTATTTGTTGTAGTGCTATGACATGGAATTATCTGATTTCTCACTGCTTAACTTTCATTTACTTTTATTACTTACTGAGTTGGCGTACTCACATTACTCCCTACACCTTGTGTGCAGATCTAGGAGTTGCGGGTTGTGATAGCGAGCGCTGATCTTCATCCAGCGGGTCATTTGGAGTCAGCAAGGTAGCTGCATGGCGTTCGCAGCCCTGCTCTTCTCTCTCTTATCTTCCCTAGATTATATTAGTGTTGTTCCCAGACTTTGATAGACTTTATTTTACTTAGACAGACTTTGTAGTTGCTCGTGACTTGTGACACCCTAATGTCAGGCTTGTGTTGTTTTGGCACTTGTTATTACACGCACATTATGGGATTTTAGTAAATTTATAGTTATAAATGTCTTTTATGAAAATGCTGGTTTGATTTGGAATTTGTGTCTGCTGGCCTAGTTTCACTATAGGCGCCATCACGACCAGGTCGATTTTGGGGTCATGACATTCAGTTGTGGCCTTGAATGCAACTGTTTTCTTCTTTTCTTCTTGGTTTGTTTCCTTGAGATGTGTCTTTTTGAAAGCTATGAATTCTTCTCGAAGTTCATCATAAGATAACTTATTCAGATCTTGTGATTTAAGTGTGACTACTTTGGTCTGCCAAGTAGTTGGTAGGCTTCTAAGAATCTTTCTACCTTGATCACCACTTGAATATGGTTTGTCGAAAGCTTTTAGATTGCTAATAATTTTACTGATCTGGCAAAAATCTCTTCAATAGATTCTCCTTCTTTCATCTGAAAGAGTTCATAATCATGAACCAACATGTTGATACATGTTTATTTTACTTTGCTGATTCCTTCGTATGTAACTTCAAGCTTATCCCACATCTCTTTGGCTGTATCACAGCTGGAGATTTTCTCATACTACTCACCACTTATAGCATTATAGAGAAAATTTCTCGCCTTATTGTTGACTTTCACAACTACTATTTGTGCATCTGTATATGAATCTATATCTTCATGATCAGCAAGTGGTTGAGTGGCAGCCAACAGAGGATAGTTCCCCTTTTTGATAACTCTCAAAACTTTAACATCATATACCTTTGCATATATTTCCATACGCACTTTCCAGTGGGAGAAATATTGTCCATTGAAGTATGGTGGCCATACTTACGAAGTTCCTTCTTGGAAGAGTGCTCCTATGATAACTTGATTTGCCATGATCTTTTCTCACAAGCTGTTAAGCAAAAGAAAAATGTGAGCCTTGCTCTGATGTCAATTGAAAGTACAAGGGGAAGGGGTGAATTGTTTATTTTTAAAATTAATCGCTACCAGTTGACTAGTTTTCTAATCAGTCGACTAGATATAATAACGCGATAACAGTTAGGGCAGAATTTAAGATGCTGAAATTAAATGCAAGAATTAAAGACACCAAATTTTTTATACTGGTTCAGATTCAATGTGAATCCTAGTCCAGTCCCCTTGTGTTACAAGAGAGTTCTCTTTCAGTGAATGAGTTTCTTGAGTACACAGTGAATGTTGTGATCTACACTGATAGCTCAGTTCCTATATCACTCGTTTCTTTTTTATACAATGCTTCACCAGTTTTGCTCTCTCTTTCTTCTCTAACTTGTTATACATCAGGTCTAGTAGAGCTACAATGTTTGTTTGCAGTAGAATAAAGAGAGAGTATTTGATTCGATCAAAGTATATGTGCTAAGGTACAGATATAAGTTTAAATACGTTGAGAGAGGCCTGAATTCTGGAGAGATTTTCCAACCCAAGAGATTTGATCTTTGGAAAGAGATTGATTTTTTCCAAGAATAAGGTTATTCAGCAACGGCTCTATCTTGACGAGAGGCTTTAATGACTTTCCTTATGCGCGATCCTTGAATCTTGATCCTTCCAAATTTAGATACTTGATTGATTATCTTATAAGATCTTCGATATTCTTGATTAATTTGATTCCTTCAGTTTAGCCTTAATTGATTTCGTCAGTATCAACGATTCTTTTAATCTCGTCTGCTTTTCTTGATTTTCTCTCATTGATCCCATCAATCTTGTATTCCATCCATGAGTTCCTTGATCTTTGTTGATTGATATCTTCAATCTTGAATGTTATCCATGAGTTCCTATACAAAGAGCAAATATATTATTTTCATTATTAAAATCAGATCTAACAATAGGATGTACATTTCCCATAGGCTCATTGTTGTACTTCATACCAGCATTGAGCAAATAATTGACAGCCATAATTACAGTATGCTTGCTAATATTGAATTTTTTTCGAAAAAAGTTATTAAACAATGAGCAAATTAGAATAACACCATAATTGTCTATGCCTCATGGTAGGCACCAAACTATTTTCCCATAAAAAGATACAGTTGAATTTGTATAAGTGATTTATATCTGCTTAGTAAATTAAAAAGAATAAAGATAATAATATAAAGATACTTTACAAAGAACAAGCCTATATTTTAGATAAATTCCACCAGAATCAAGATAACAGGTAAGCTTCAAACATAGCATTTCTGTATAAAACTATGAAAATGAGAGCAAGAAAGATAGATTTTTAATTCTTGTTGATTGTGTCATTACAATGAGTACAAATGCTGCTATTTATAATTAAATCGTAGGAGAAAAGATCATCAAGTCTCGCCCTCTTGAGATGCATAAGAACTCTCTTGATGAGTGCATAACGTTGGAACTAAATGCTGAGAGTTTCTGTAACGGTTGCCCCTTTAATGTTGCTTTCTCCAATCGGAGCCTTGCCTTCAAATTTACTTTTATGATGTTTGTGTCCTTGGAATTCGCATAATGCCAGTCATATGTCTGTATTAGGTATTAGCTGATTGTTGACTCATCTACACCATTGACAAATGTCTACTCGAGAAACGCCCACCTATATACTCTAAATTTTACCCAATACACACCTCAGTTAGGAAAATAATTTATAAAGTTTTTTTTTTGATTACAAAGTCACCCAACGATTATTTTTCTATTAAGAAAATAAAAAATACCTATTTAGCATGCTATGTTCGCTCAAAATAGTTATGTCTGGTTCAAATGAACTCACAAGCAAACAAGGAAATATTGGTTTTTAAATTTGCATTTCCATACTAATTTAGTTTTATAATTTTTCCATTCAAAATATTCACATATTGTTCGCATAATTTGGCTCAAGTTGATAAAACGGTTATTTGAATTTGAAGTTGAAAAAGGGCATTTGAAAATAACTTTTTCTTTTTGCTTTTTTGAAGTTCCGCCTCTTGGACCTCTTAAGAAATTACATCTTCTCTCCGATCTAAAATTTCTATCTAGTAGATAAATGGATGAATAACGTCTTAATTGCGATAAACTTACACTTTATGGAAAAATAATCTGCAACAAAATATGAAGAAAAAGAGTTTTTATCGATTAATATTTATGAGTACAATTCTCGTATTTTCTTGATTCTTCTTCTAAAATTCTTCGTGATTCGAGAGCTTGAGTAGCGTTTTTCTCGAATATAGTTTGATGTGGACCTTCTTGTGATGTATTTAATCTCCAAGAAAGTCGGGCAACACTTCATCGTTTTGGGTTGATCTCCGTGAAGAATTTTGTTTATCACTTTGTGCTTGTTGAAGAACTATGCGGTTGATAATTGATCTTTCTACTTGCGGATGCCTTCACCAACTATGTAATGCTCTTCTTTAACTCTAAATCTCCCTAGAGAGTTATGTAACCCCTCTATTTATAGTTTTATAGGGTGAAAAGTCCAATTGCATATGAGCTTTCTTGCTTGATTCTGATCGGATCATGTGAATCATCAAACTTATCACACAAGTTATGTGAAAAGGGTTGCATGTCATTGGCCAAAACATGTCATTTTAGATATTTGACGACTTGTGGTTGGTCCTTACTTTTTGACTTGGATTGCCACTTCATTTTAATATGTGGTGTCATCTTGTTGCCTTTTAATTTGACTGGACATACCATGTTACCTAACACATAGCATCGGTCTCGGCTTTAAGTTAAAATGGACTTTGGGCTTGAAAATAAAATGGACTTATTTAATTTGTAAAGTCTAAATAAATTATTTAACTGAATAAAATTGGATACGTATATGTAATTGGACTTCAAAAAATTCAATTAAATTATTAATGCTCACAGATTCCCACAAATCTCTTGGGAATTAGCCGAAATCGACTTTTGAAGCTGATTTACATGTCTGGCGTTTCGACTTTACAGGTATGTGCAATCTCTCTAAAAGAGCTATATCTCGAGCTAGGAGTATCTAAACTGTGATCTAGTTAATTCTACAGAATCGTAACTCGTACTAGTGCGACATATCCAAAATTCAGGGTTTTAAATCCCTTAGGACAAGCCAAAATAAATATTTGAAAATGATACACATGTCTACTGTTTCGACTTTACAGCACCACATGTTCTCACTGAAAAATTCATACTTTGAGCTAGGGGTGTGAAAATTGAGAGTCGTCTGTGCTACTGGAGAGAAAACTCCAAAACACAAAACACCTTAGAGTATCACAAAAGATTCACATTTTTGGATTACTAGCTTTGTTTTACTTTGCAAAAGAAAAAATAATTCACTAGCATATATTTTTCTTCTAATTTTTGTAAGACTAGCAATTTTATAACTTGTTTTTAATTGTTTCTTTTATTTTTTTAGTTTTTAGTTTTAGCGTAATATCTTTAATTTTGATTATCTTTAATAAATAGAAAAGGAAAAAAGAACCAATGCGAAAATGCCACCTAACATAATTTTCCATATCTTTGTAACAGACTTCACATGCTCACACTACAAAAATGCGTGTCACACTCTTGCACAAAAGGAGTTGTGCACTCGTTTCTTGGAGAGGAATTCACACCTTAGAAAAGAATACAAAAAATAAGATAGATCTGGAGAGAAAGAAAAATTGAAAAAGCAAAACGAAGAAGCCTTCCCCTTTCTTCTTCACTGAAAATAGCCGTCCCTGCCTCTCCTTCCTCAAGAGAAATACATGGAAGTTTCATATTAAACTCAATCACAAGATCATGTAGCTAATCCACCACCCAAACACCTCCATTTTCTCCTTAATTAGGCACCATTGTTACCCCATTTTTAAACCATAAAATACAGCCTTGAAGTACCCTGTTTCCATCGCTTTTTCTCCAGATCTTAACCTTTTAAACACCCCAAAAATACAGTAACAGCAGTTGCAGAAAACCAGCAAAAAATCAGCTCCAAAACCCAAGTAAAACCTCCATTAAAATAGTCCCAAAACCAGATTCTTCCATCACTAAAAGAGCTGCAATTTAAGCTCCATCTTCAGCCCATGAACTTCAAATTTTAACCACTAAAAACTCGGAAAAATCAGCCCCAAAATCTACCTCAAACCAACCCTTCCAAACCACCAAACAGTCCAGGCATGAATCGCCCAAAGACACCTCGAAAAGCAGGCCAAAAACGCAGCTGAAAACAGCCGCAAATTAGCTGAAGAACCAGCTAAAAAATAGTCCCCGAACAACCCCAAAAACCACCCCAAACCACCACCATTTTTAGCTCCAAACTCCAGCCAAAACACCACCCAAAACAGCCCAATAATACCTCAAAATAGTCCAAGGTTGATCGAGGTTGCGAGTCCCGATTTTTCGTTCGAGGTCCCGTTGCTGGTCCGAGGTTCCAGTCAGTACCTCATTTGACTGTCGCTTCTTTGTAAGCAGCAAAAAGGTTAGAAATCTATCAATGAAGGATTCATTCTTTTTAATTTACTGTTTCTTTCTTATAATGCTTCTGTTTTAGTTTAGATCTATCCAGATGTTGTATTATTTTTTCTTTTCTTTTCTTTTCTTTTGTTTATGTTTGTTTGGTTGAAATCAATTTTGCTACTATTTAAAACGTGAGCTTCTCATCCATGTTGTTAGGTTAATATAATCTGATAAATCCATGTTAGATTAGGAAAGTAAATAAGTCAATTCTTTAAAGGAAATTCATTTTATCAATAATATTTATGTTAGCATTTTATTCCTTAGTTGATGTTTTGTTGCATGTTTCTATTATTTTAATTTCTTGTTTCACGAAAGAAGATAGATATTAAGTTTAAAGTTAGTCAATTGTCCAATATAAAATCTGAAAAATGAAATCTTAAGTTGAACAAACTGTGGTGTATTAGAATCATTGGGCCATGTGATTTTAATATGAGATTAATGAGATTTTAGACTTTTAAATCTCATAAGTCACAACAAGGATTTTGGTTCGCACTCGAATACAAGTTGAGTACATCTTCCCAAATAATTTTCAAAAACTCTTGGCCTTACAATAATCTCAAATTAGCTTTACAAAAATAACTCTAATAAGATTACACACATTAGTTGCTTTAGGTGAATATTAATAATTTAATTATCATGGTTATTGGTACAGTTCCCGTGGCATAACTATGATATATAAATCCAAAATTCAAGTGCGCACTCACGCGACTTGGTCCTTAACTTCAAATAATAATGATAATAGCATGTTGTAAATCACAGGTGCATTTCACGTGGCATAATTTGCGATGTGCCTAAAACAACAAGTGCACGACATCGTGACTTGTTTCAAATAAACTCCATAATTATTTAAAACATATAATTAAAAGCGGTATAGAAGCGGTAACGCATAAAAGGTTTTAATCATGTATTAATTCAGATACTTAAGCCAATTATTAATTGTTAAGCGACCGTGCTAAAACCATAAAACTCGGGAGTGCCTCACACCTTTTCTCGGGTTAACAGAATTTTTTACTCGATCTTCTGTGTTCGCGGACCATAAATAGAGTCAATTTCCTCGATTTAGGATTTTAAAATAAACCGGTGACTTGAGACACCATAATAATTATTTCAAGTGGCAACTTTGTAAAAATAAATAATTCCATTTCTAATAACGTTACTTTAATTGGAAAAACTCCATTATCTTTGGAAAAAGAAGGTGTGACAACTCTAGCAAGTTTACTGGGGAAAAGAACCCAAAACTTCTGGTTTATGGTTCAGAATTCGAGCTTAGAATAACTGTTATACTTGGCTTTCTTGTGATTATCTGATATTACATGTTTGGACCTAATGTGCTAATTGCCGCTCATTTATCGCTTCAATATTCTGTGAATTGTATATATAAACTGTTATGCCACCCTTCTTTTCTCTGAGTCTTCTAAATCTTCTGGGAAGCGGATGTTGGCATGGCTTCGTTTCTGTTAGAGTGTCATATCCCTAATTTAGAACGAGGATTAGATCAGTTACAAAGCCGGATAGCCTTTTTGTTCCTGGTACATTGCCTCCCACCCTCCCGGCTCAAGTTGTCCGCTCGGGTAAGCTTGGTCTAGAACAACACACCCCAGGATTCAAACCTATGATAACATAGCTTTATGCCGGATCCCTAGTAGGAATATTTGTTTGCATCACGTGCATTTAACTTTGGGGACACAACACAGAGGTTGGGTCCGTCTAGGACGGGTGTACCCAAATTAAAAGACCATTCTGATGCATTTTACATGTTACTTGTGCATTTGTTTGTTTCAACTTGCATGTTGACCAGCCTCTAGAGTAGGGAAAGAAAATCAAGAAAAACCCAAGAGTGAGGCAGGAGAGAGAAAATTTACCCGGTTCTGAAAAATTCAGGTATTTGAAAAACAATCCAAAACTCTGTCGAATTTTTGAGAAAAAAAGTCATTTCAATATGAGCCAATGTTTTCAAAAGTCATATTTTTCCTGTTGTGTCAAAACTGACTGAATTACGCGGGTCTGATTCTCATCGGATGTGAGATACATAGGCAAACCTCATCGATTTCAGTACCAATTTTTAAAAATCCAAAACTATTTTCCTTTGTTTCCTTCTTTAGAAATCTTTTCTTAGAAAATCGCAAATAAAAAAAATAAAATTTTAAACCCAAAAATATTTTTTATTTCTTTTTAGAAGTTTTTCATTCGAAAAAAAAATCAAAATCGAAAATATGGGTTTTTCCTTCTTTAGAAGTCTCCCTAAAATTCAAAAAAGTAAAATCAATCAAAATCAAAAAATATTTCTTTCTTCTTTAGAAGCCTTTCCTTCGAAAATTTTTGAAAAAAAAGCATAAAAAAATATAAACAAATCGAAATCCAATAATATTTTCTTAAGAAGTTTTTCTTTCAAAAATTTCCCCCTTCATCCCCCCCCCACCCAAACAAAAAACAAAAAAAAATTCAAAATCCAAAATATTTTCCTTGTTAGGAGCATTTGTGGTATGATTTTCAAAAAAAAAACAAATAAATAAAGAGATTGATGAATAAATTAGAAAAGAGTTAGCTTATTTACTTTGTTTTTGCTATCCCTGAACTACGTAATGATATGATTCATGCGGTGTCAGGATGCGATCATTAGCCATAAATAAAGTGAGAGAGAAAAACAAAGAGTGATAAAAAAAGGGGGCAAAACAAAGAGCGCAAAAAAAACAACAAAAACAAAATAGAGAAATGTTAGAGTGAAAAAATCCAAAAAAAAACTGTGAAATAAAAAAGAGAAGAGGTATTCGAGTGAAAAAAGGTTAATTAAAGCCGGGATGAAATACACAACAGTTCAAACACATGGTAGAAGTATTTAGCTGTTAGGTGTATTGCATCCCAACGTGCGATTTCCTATCTGTTAAATGTCTCAAAGCTAACAAGGTTGTTGTGTGTGCAAATTAGCCAGGTTCTGTTCAGGTGGTTGGTTTTTGTTGGTAATTTGGCTTCCCATCCTTACTTCACAAGATCCAAAGATAGGGATCCTATGGCCTACTAAAGTCATCTACCAATTATCAATCTTGAGGATAGACCGGCACTGGCTATTCCACAACTAGAATCAACAACTGCTAAAGAGAATAGGATGCTACGTCTCCGCATGTTGGAAATGTGGGACGCCTGATCTAGTTGTAGGGAACCGCCGATTGCAATTCCTTGGTTCCTGTCACGACCCAAGTTCTCCCTCCGTGAACTGTCATGACGGCACCTAGTCTCTACGACTAGGTAAGCCTAACAGTTGCGGAAAAAGAAACAAAATGCGGAAAAACTAATAAAAACTGAAGATAAGCAAATATAAAAACGTTTAAGATGTCGCTCGGCATATACTAATACAAGATCTCAAAAACTGAACAACTTCTCAAAATCTGGAATCTCATGAAATCACAAGCTGTTGAATAACTACAAGTGTCTAACTCCATAATGTCTAAACAAAAGTAAATACAAAAGGGCTAATACTGTAAGAGAGAATGGAAAGGGACTCCTCGGTCTGCGGACGCTGCAGATATACCTCAAAGTCTCTAGAGAATCTCCTCGCCTCAAGGGTAGTAGGGTTGAGTCGAAGTACCTGGATCTGCACATGAAAAACATGCATAAAAAGGGCATGAGTAAACCACAACGGTACTCAGTAAGTGTCAAGCCTAACCTCGATTGAGTAGTGACGAGGAAGGTCAGGGCCCTACTGATTATAGCTGAAAAACGAGGTAAAACAGTATAGAATATGATAATATAATTAAATGCTAACAGTATGAAGTAACACAGGATAATAAGAATAATAACAACTATAACAGAGACAAAATAATCACATAGGAATACAGCTCAACACAGAGATAACAACCGGGGATCTCCCAGGATACCGTCTTGTAGTCCCCAAATGTAAATATCCAGTGGATCTCCCGGGTGTCATCCCGTAGTCCAACTCATAGTGCTCGGGGATCTACTAGAATCCCGATCCGTAGTCCCAAATATAATTACCCAGTACTGGGGGAATCTACCGGGTGCAGTCTCATAGTTCCAATATAATGTGCAGGGGGATCTACCGGAATACAAATCCATAGTCCCAAAGTAAACACACAGCAGCAACACAGAGAATATTCAATTCAATCCAAATTTCATACCAAGGTAAATAGGTATTTCTAACCTACCATGCTGCACATAATTCAAATAAAGCAGTTTGAGCAAGTAAAGCAATTAAGTCAATTAGACATGTTTCCCTAAGCTAATAGTAGGCTTAAATTGCAAGTAGTATAAACAGGAAAGGAAACACAGTTATAGTTACTTAATGAAAATAGGATTTTCAACCATTCATACAAGTACGCACTCGTCACCTCATGTACAAGGCATCTCAAATATCAACAATACGAAATCCTAAGGGGAGTCCCCCACACAAGGTTAGGCAAGCCACTTACCTCGAACCGGCTAAAAAATAACAAGAAACCACTCTCTTGCCACGAGTACTCGACTCCAAATGGCCCAAATCTATTCAAATCAATTGCATAATGTAAATATAACTTCAATTAACTAATTCCACTAATTAATTTGAAGCTAACATGCGAAATTAAGAAAATTGCCCAAAAAGCCCTCAGGCCCGCATCTCGGAATCAGGTAAAAGTTATGAATTATAAACCCTCATTCACTCACGAGTCTAACCATACCAAAATTATCCAAATCTAATATCAAATCCCCAATCAAAACTCGAAAATTAGGTCTAAGAACTTTCCCAAATTTATCTTTAATTTCTCACCCCAAAATCCGAAATTAGATGATGAATTCATGATTAGATTAATGAGTTATAAGCAAAAAGGAGTTAAGAATTATTACCCGCAAGCTCCCTCCAAAATTTGTCTCCTACCGAGCTCCTAATTCAATTTTTGTGATATGAACTCAAAACCCTCGATTTTGAACTTTATATTCTGCCCAGACGCGTTCTTAATCGTGATCGCAAAA